GGGCGCGGACGGCGGGGGGGGGGTAAAGAACCGCTGCGCTCAATTGCTAGCTTTTCCTTTAACTCCCGCTGACGTCAGACTGCGGGTTGAAACGGAACCGTCATCCTCCCCGTTCCCCAGGCATGAAGCGCGAGGGAGGGGGAAAGATGCCTTAGGAAGGGAGTCCGAAGGCGCGGATGTGCTGGCGGATCGTTGGTTCTAAGATGCAGCAGTTGCGGTTACTGTGTGCATCAGTTACCCTGGAATGCAAACAGTCACATGAAAGGGGCTGCTGGTTGCTCCATAGCACTTTATTGCAGCGAAAGCGAGAGGATTTGTCAAATTGCAAGTGCATTCCTAAAGTTTGGGGTAATCTTATTTAATTTAGTGGCACTCGCCTTTGAGCGTGACAGAAAAAATAGACTCGTACAATTGTGATTTCTCAGTCTCCCGGTAGCTAGGCAAACTTCCATATTGTGGCTCAGGAAAGCGGAACTGTCAGGTGTTGTGGAACTGCAACTCCCAGAAACCCTCTCTGGTCATGTTCGTTGGGGCTGCTGGGAGTTTGCACGAATTTTCAGGGGGGGAGAACGTGTCTCCGGACCTGCACGAAGCGTTTTCTGAGACGTGATAAATTTAAAGGTTAAAAAGCTAAGGACTTAGTCTTCAAATTTTTTTTCACGTGGCTCTTTTGTGCTCGGTGCCAACCAGTGTATTTTACAGTAGCTGTTCTTACAAAATAGAAATGCAATTTAAGAAACTAAGTAACACACCATTTAAAATGGGCTGGACTTCTATTTATATTATGCCGCTGCTTGGCAGACATCAGTATCACAAGATCCTTGTTGGAGACAATGATGTATTCATTTGTTTGCGCTACATCACATCAAAATAATAGATAACAATATACATAAATTATTGAAAACCTAATTTAATGTTAAAGTGCACGGCCGGAAATAAAAGAACTTAGCTTGATTTCATAGTAGATTTCATATTAAGATTTTCTAGCTCTTTTTCTGGGCTTTGCTTTTCCATATTTTAAGTATATCTCTAAGCCAGCCTTCCCCAACTTGATGTTTCCGGTTGTACTGGCCAAACTGTGAAACTATCCATTATGTTTAGTTTTATGTTCAAGAAATCATGATTAAATGAGGTTTAACATTCTATAAAAAGACAGCATTATATTACTTGTATTTTCCATTTCATACCTTCAAAGTTCATCCCTGCTTACAAGGTTTACATTTGTTGCTTAAGATCTGAGCTCTCTTGTATTTAGGTTTATTATAATATATACGGAGTTCCTTGAGTCCCTGTGCAGTTTAATTTTTAACAACTTCTATATAAAATATAAACAATCTAAAAAAATATAACTCAGAGGGAGTTTATTTAAGATTTAAATGAAATTGTTCACGATTCATTGATTCTAATTTCTTTATTTTTCAGGTCATAAACTCTTCCCTATACTGAATGGCTTCAATTGAACAAAAGGTAATTTGTGTTCTCCGGTAGCTGAAATCCGTATCAACTGTCAGAAGGAAATTTAAGTCTTATTACAGCAAGGAAGTCCCCCCCCCCCAAGGAATTCAATTATAAACTGGATGAAAAAGAATTAAATAAGTTGGTTCCATTATTGATAAAACCATTAACTGGAAGACTAGTGGTAAACAATGAGACTGTGTAGAGCAGGTCTTCACAAGGAGTCCACAAAAATCCATTTGGCAGGCTTCATTGGAACTAGGGTTCCTAGAGCAACAGTTTATAGAATTCTCAAAACAAAACTACATTAGCGAGAATACATGACTCACGTCTACCAGATTTTGTTGGAAGAAGACTACCATGCAAGATTAGTTTTCTGCCATCATTTTAATCATGAGGTTGAAAATAACATCTAATTTCTTGATAGATCATTATTTAATTATGAAAGAACATTTCATATCAGCAGCAAGGTTGTCATAATTGCTGTATTTGAGGGACATAGGAACTCCAGAAGGCTTGGGAACATGGAACGGAACGTCTGGTACACTCTAGGAAAATTACACAAAATTGGCTCATTCTTTCTTGGAGGAACTGTCATGAATGATCAGGCTTATTTGGACATGCTGCAGAATTACCTTATTCTTGAACAGAGGCAATCAGGATTTATCAACAGGAGTGTCTTTCAGCAAGATGGGGCACCTTGCCACTTTGCCTGCAGTGTTCAAGAACATTTAAATGTGGTTGCTCCCAATAGATGGATTGGGAAAACTTGCATCCAAAATGATGGTAGTTATACTGAAAGTTAACATTCCTGCAAATAAATATATTACTTATTAAAAATTAAAACTGCACAAGGATTTTATACATAACCTGTATTTTTCTTTTTTCTATTCAGGAAGGGTTTTTTGTCTTTTTTTTGTGTCTTTTTTTTCCTTTTTGGACTTTAATGCTTTTTTACTCTTCTTTTTGTTATAGATTAAAACCATTTTAAAAAGTTCATTCTTACTGTAAAGGCAAGATCCTCATTCAAATTTATTTAGAGGTGAGTTCTGTTCATCAAAAGCGCAGCTTTCTTTGCTCCTGCTATTTTAATTCACAGTTTGATCCTTGTCTTACTTTTAGATTGGATTCAAATATCACATTTATTTAAGTATAAATTTACTGGATAAGCTACAATTGGCTGAGTTTACATAATATACATTTAAAAATTATGAATTATAAATCAGTGTCTGGGTTCTCAAAAAAAAAACAGTTCTACAGTGCATTAGGCAAGTAATATTGAAAAATAATTTGCTGGCATGAAGAGTTTTCCATTTATACTCTACTAGTATTGGTTACCTAGATTGTCCTGATTCTACTAGCATTAGTTACCTAGATTGCCCTGGAGAGCACTATATTTCATTTGCCAAGAATAATTTACCTGGCACTTTATGCATTAACTTTTCAAGTCATTTAGACTTCAAAGAAAGACATCTAAATGGAAATTAATGCCACTTCAGATGGTTTTAAAGTCTGACAATAGAAGGATAAACACCTACTTTGCACTCTGACACCTTTTCTTCATATGATTTTGGGTTTGTTTATTAGCCATAATTCGTTAAATAAACTGAAATTGCCTGGGGTCCATAATACACTAAGCTGTAAAATACGCCTCACAAATGACCGTGGCTGGGTTCATACAATGCGTTAAGCTGCAACCAAATTACATTATGGCACAATGCAATGTGTGAAAGTCACTTTAAGGCTGCCGTTTAATCCTCTTGATAGGACTTCAGATCAATTATTGCACATTATTACTGGGGTCTTAATCATGCCAGCTTGAAAGCAAGACCATTATATACCATGAAGCTTACAATCCAGTAAATGAAGTTCTTTGTTTTCTGGTTGCTAGGCCGAGCTCTCACTAGATGGCAGCATTCATTACTAGGGATTTTTTTATACCATGCAACAAGCAGCAGTAGTGGTTAATAACAGAGTTACTGAAAATGATGCATTTGTACACCAAAATTTGTAAAATGTATGATGATAAATGTAAGGCATGATTATAACTGTGATGGAATTCTTGCAATTTGGGAAACAAAAGGTTTTGGTTTTGAAAACATGGCAAATGAACAGATGGACATTTCAGCTTTATGTCCCAAGCAAGGCATTAAGCCGTCAGGGAACCTGTGAGAAAGAAATCCAGACAACTCACAGAGACCCACCTTAATGTACTCACTTATAAATGAGGACAGAGGTTCCAAGATTCTGTAACGTAAGCCCTTTGGTCATATGCTGCTGTTAGGAGCTCGACATTAATCTTTGAAATGCACTATTCTCCTTTATAAGTAAGGCTATCTAGTTTTGTTTTTGAGACCAGACAATGACAAGTGACCCACTGGAATACCATGGGCTATTTCAGCACCAGCAACAGATAGATGTGCAGATCACTAGTGGTAATAATATTGTTCCTCAAATTATAAAGCAAATCATTTAAGTGCTGCAACAACTAGGGCTGCCCTTCATGTTGTTTCTTGCTCTTCCACCCTGCTTACTTTGCTCTCCATGATCTTTATAAGACAAATGTAATGGTGCTTGTGACAGGTTCAGACCTTTCGTATGTTTGGGAGACCAGCTGAATTTTTCACAGACCATTCTTAAGCAGTCTTTATCCTTGTATTCTTGATAGATGGAATTGCCAAGTGGGCAGTTCCTGTTATAGACAACCATAATCCCATAATGGATAGCTTTCTCAATTTTATGCAGAGTTTTACAGCTGCCTTTTATAACTCTGCCAGAAGAGCTACTGCTTATTGGGAGATTCACAGTTTGTACCAAGGTAAATGTAGAATGTATGCATATAGCAAAATTTCAACTGTATGCTATAGATGTTCATTGGAATAGATCAAGTTTTGGAAGGTCTATCAAATGAACTGTATGACAAATTAGTTCTCCTGGGCATTCCAAATAGAATGTCCATTGTATGTGGAAATCATAGATGGAAGATCTCTATACAAGACCTCTATACAAGACCTCACTTACCCACAGTAATTGGGACTGGGAACTCAGTTGCTAAGTAAAGGCAGTTCCGGCAGTCCCAGTTGCTGTCATTAGGCAAATTCTGCGTGGTTATAGTGTCCTGCAGTCATGTGATCACCATTTGCAATCTCCTGCCGGCTTCCCCATTGACCTTGCTTGTTGGAAGCTGGCAGTGAAGGTTGCAAATGGTAATCACGTGACCATGGGATGCTGTGACATCATAATTGCAAGCCAGTTACCAAGTGTCCAAATCATGATCATGTGACCATGGAATGCTACAACATCATAATTGTGAGCCAATTGCGATCACGTGACCACGAGGACACTGCAATGGCTGCAACTACGAAGACCTATTGTAAGTTCCCCTTGTTCAGCACCATCGTAACTTCAAACAGTTGCTGAATGAGTGGACGTTAAATGAGGACTATCTGTATTTTGGTCCCATTGTTGAACTATTGCTCTCCTTCACCTCATTACAGTATAAATGATAAATTGAATATTCCCCTTTATCTGTATGAAAGAGGCCACAAATATTTAACTGTCTTGGACACATGCTGTGAGAAATTTGAGTATATTGTGATGCCTCTTGGATTATCTAATTAATAGTATTTATGAGATTCATGAATGAGATATTTTCAAACATCCTGGGCTCTTATGCCATAGTATATTAATGCATAATATTTGTTTAATCAATGACCAGCAAAATTATTTTTTTTTAAAAAAAACAGAAACAGAGTGAAGCCAATGGTATATGTCATGATATATTAGATGACTCCCCCCGCCAAAAAAAAAAAAACTCCAGCTGCTCATCCTCGTCAGGAATGTTCTGGCGATGCTGAGTACACACAAGCTACATGCTAAGATAGAAAACTCTGCTTTTGACCATCCTACTCTAGGATTTTTGGGGCTACAGAATTTCTGCAAATGGCATTCAGAAACGATTATGCTCAGGTGGACTCCATTCTGTCCTGGCTTCAAGGACAGTTAAGGATGTGTGGTTTTGGGGGGGCTTTTGTAATTTTTACAGATGTTTTATACCTGAGTTTGTTAAACACTCCCATCTTAACTCACCCTACTGGTTAACACCTTATTCCGTTTAAATGGACTTCTCAGGCTAAGGCAGAATTCCAGGCTTTGAAGCAAGCTTTCACCTCTGAGCCCCTGTTGCATTATCTGGAGCATCCTTTCATTGTTCAAGCGGATGCATCAGACTCTGCCTTAGGTGCTGTTCTCCTTCAGGCTATGACTGAATATGGAAAAGATCTGTGGATCCTTGACAAAAATCCATCCAGTATTTCAGCAGTGCAGACCCCTTACCTGCTGTGCAGCTAATATTTCTATTAGCAGGGAGAGAAGAATAATTTGTGATGGAATGTATTTTGGATTCCAGGTGCTGGAGAGGCAGATTGGAATACTTCATTCACTGGAAAGACTACTCTAACAAATTCAGAGAAGCTGACAAATTCAGAGAAGCTGCTGCTGAAGTTCATGCACCCTGACTTGTCCATCAGTTACAGTTAATAAGCTGAAATCCCCAGATATGCTCAGAGGTGGCCACTGATTCTTATGACTCTGGAGGGGAGGACAAAAGCTTCTGTCTGCTCCCCTCCCCTCCCCTCCCTTCTAATATCCCACTCTGCATATTAGAAGGGAGATAGCTACCCAAGCCATCCTCCTTTTGACTCTAGAGGGCCCAATTTAAACAACTTGCCTTCCCCTTCTTCCAGGACAAGTTATTTTTTTCTCTCTCTGGACTCTATGGAGGAGCAGGGTAGAGAGGCAGAACGTGATCCAAAGAATTCTTGGAGTCGGAAAAAGAAAAGGTTTTTTTTCAAAACATGGCAAAAGGGGAGCAAAGGGACATTTCAGCCTTATCTCTTCCGAAAGGTTTCAGTATATCAGGGAATCTGTAAGAAAGAAATTCAGACAACTCACAGATATATTAATGTACTCACTAATCAGTGAGAACTGCTGCTTTCAATTTAGCCTCCAAGATTATTTAACCTCTTTTTACTGGCATTAAAACTGATCAATGAGACGGTGAATGAGTTTTGCTTCCTTGATCATGCACTGCAGTTAGGAGCTTAGCAGTCACAAATATGTGTTTAGGATCACATTTCACAGAGGACTGGATAATCTCACAGGCATTTTGGTAGACGCCTGAAGGTGTAAGACCTGACTGTAGAGAATTGTGGAAATAACCTTGAAGAACATACGCAGGAACAGTTAAGGCAGAATAAGATACAACTCAGTCCTTGGAAAGAAGGCATGAAAGAGAAACTGGAAAGAATCCCACCCTGAGTCAGATTGGTATAAGAAGGAGCAGAGGGAAGCTCTTGAAAGCCTACAATCTTGAAACTCTTATACCCTTAAAGCATCATTCCTGTAATCCTTGTGCTGTCTTCTGACCTGGCCTTCCTCAAAGGGCTGACACAGACAGAAGACTGTTACTTAGCCTGGAGCGGGTTTCAGAGGCCTAAGAATTTATAGCCTATATCTTTATGGGAATATGCTTGCAACAAGAGCTTGGAGAGGCAGCAATGGGTGGGGATTTTTCTTTTCTTTTGTCCCTCCAGGAACTGAGAACAGGGAAAGAGAACAACTTTCTCTTTTTGGGAATCCAGTACCATGAAGGGTTTTCTTCGAAATTTGGGGAATGACAGGAGTCTATAGAAGCACTAATATAAATTACTCATTTTACTATCAGCTTGTATGCACATACTGTATGTGTCAAACAACTTTATATCACCTAAGTCCATAATGAGTTCCTTCCAAGTAAGTTAAGCCCTGAAACCTCTCACTTCTCAGAAATGGGATGTATGTAAGTAATACCGAGAGTAGTTTAATACCTCACTCAGTGTCTTATGAATATTCACCAATAGGTACTTATGGAAATTTATGGATTCTTCAGAACGAGCTATCAGGCCAAACATGTTATATTTAGAATAATTCTGTGCATTCAAATTAAATCCCAATTTAAGTGGGGTGTGCAGAGGCTTCTTCTAAGTTGTAAAACAGGTTCATGCTAATGGCAACCATGGGTGGAGAGAGAGAGGGGACAAGGCAAGTCAGATATCCAAGTCACAGCACAAGGATGAATTGTTTGAGGCAGGCAAGAGTGAGACACAGAACATGACTCAAGTAAAATGGTTTCCAAGAACCTGTCCAGGAAATCAGGCTCTGATTTATTGTTCTTGAGGCCTGATCTCACTTTAGCCCAGATGGTCTTAATTATTCCCCAGCTGTATCTAGTTTAGCACTCAGGTGAGTTGATTTTTCTGGCCCTACCCAGTCTTGCTCCTTTACCTCTCATGACATTGCATGGCCACCCAACAATGCTGTCTTCCTTTAGGGTACATCCTGAACTTGCAACTGCAGATGTGAATTGCTGGGAGTCTTCTGTTCCTGATACTTGCTGGGCATGCTCTGTTCTTCAGTCTTCAGCATTGTCTCAAAGACAGACATGGCATCTCTCAAAGATGCTGTGGACTTTATTGCTTCTTTTTCATCCTCTGAGCTGCTAGTTATTGCAACTGTGCCCAGTCTGCACCAAGTTATGTAGCCTTTCTGCAGGCCAGGGGCTACAGCTAACCTTGAGCAAGATGCTGAGAGCTGCTCTCCAGTAAGTGGGAGTAGGACAAAAAACCATGCTAGGCTAGTTAAAAGTATTGAACTTAAAAATGTTAATATTAAGTATTATTATTATAATTTTCCATATTGTCACAATAAAACTTATCCTTTCTTGGCAACTTGGGGGAAGCTCTAGAATTTGCTTCTAGGAGCAGCATATAACCCTGACAGCACCTAATGGACCTTGGCTATCTCAAAAACCTAAACAGAGTACAAATTTATTAGTCCTTGGTGGGAGATCACTAGGAAATCCCAGGACAGTAAGCTAGCCTAGGAAGTTGAAAATATTCCAGAAGAAGGCAAGAGTAATCCACTTCTGGGTTATTGTTAAGAAGAACACATCAATGTGTCCAAGAAACACATCAACCTGAGGAAGTCTAACTTTTCATCGTATGATACTATGTGCAGTTTCAAAGAGGGTGAATGAATAGTGACAGTGAGAAGCAATAGGGCCAGGAGGCTCTGGGTGATCAGCAGTGACAAGTCCCTGCAGTTTTCTTGGCAAGATTTCAGAAGTGGCTTAGATATTGCCTGCCCAAGGTCACCCAGCTGGCTTCATGCCCGACAGGACTAGAACTCTTGGTCTCTAGCCTGGTGCCTTAACCACTCTACCAAACTGGCTCTCTACATATGCTGTACCATCCTATATTTCATGGAGCTTGGGCTAAGTTCTCACAAATAACAGATGACTTGTTTTTATTGCAAATGAGGGCTTGCATGAGCTTTTCCCTTCATAATTGAGTTTTCTGGTGCAGGGATCTTCCTGAATTGCACAGGCTTATCTCCTCATTTGTTGCTTCTTCAAAATATGTATTAATTGCTCTTAAGACTTCCTATGTTTATGACAAAAGAATTATTTTCATTTTGTCCTTCCTGTCTGGCTTCCCGCATTTCCTCCTGCATATATATGTTTTGAAGTTTTTTGTAATCTGAACATAGTAAATAAATAAAGTATATGCCAATCTGAATAACTGATATAGTACTAACAGGCAGAATTTGGGATTTATGGTCATATTTCTTTGCTTCTGATGCACACGCCTACTCTTCCATATCTGCTATAGTCTGCTGAAGTTTTCATATAATATCCTGTCACATATGAAGCAATTGTAGTTAAAGCCCTAGACAGAAAGTATAATTACCATAACTCCTTTGATTTGCATAAACTTTACAACTTACAGGAGCTACATGAGATTGTTTTTCATTTCTAATAACTATGAGTGCTTTTAAATGCCTGTAGTTGTTTTTCCACATGTTAATAGTCTATTTAAATAGAACAAAAAACCCTGTGGCAACTGATCTGGTTTGCACATCAGACTAACCTATCAATCTGTTTGTTTAGTTTTAGCTTAGCATATCTTGTAGATCCAATCATTTTGGTTTGCCGTTTTATGTGTGGACTGAGCTAATTATAACTTATTCAACAAAGTGTGGTTAAACCACAGCTTATACAATGTATAAAAGCCAATGACTTTACAATGTTAGTGGCATGAGTTTCCATGTATGCAAAGATGTGTGAAGTGTCTTTTTCCTGCAGTGATGAAGTGGATTCAGGAGCGAAGGCAACTTTATTATTTGTTATTTAAAATCAGTTTAAAGGATTTTGTACATCACAGACCTATTAATAAATAACAGCAACAAAATAACTACCATTATCCAGACTGTGTACATTTATGTCAGTATCAGATCAGGCATACTTTCACATCTGGCAATTACGTATCACAGTCAGGACTTGTGAAATATATTTTTATCAGGTCAGGAAACCTCAGCTGCTTTGTTGATTATTATTTTTGGCTTAAATCCTTGCAGGAATAGCAATTAGGACTAGTTTAGGATATGAACATTTTTATGTTCTAAGTCTGCTTATTGTATAGGATTTCTAGCAATCAGTTTCCTTATTTATTTATTTATTATTAGATCTGTATCCTGTTTTCCTCCAATTTCCCCCCACAAACATATGTGGCATTTGGGCTGAGGCGCAGTGATTGGCCCATCGCAGTGAGCTTTTTTACTTGAGGGTAAATGTGAACCTAATTTATCTCACTCCTATTCCAGAACACGCCTTAATCCCTACACCAGAGAGTGATTTTTGTACTAGCCTGGCATTTGAAGATTTTCAGTGATCTATTCATGAATAAATATGATGCCTTTTCTTATAACAGATGACTCTTTGCAGCCCAGATGAAAACATATTCCGAAGTAATCAGTGATAAATACTACTTGCTATACACAGCCAGGAGAATGTTGCATAACATCTTTCATTAAATTTGTTTCACTTCTCCTAGTCTGTTAATTTGTTTCTCCAGTTTATCTATCCTGGTCCGTTTTTGTAGTTGTTTGTGTGTGGTCTGGACTTAGGCTGCTTAGATAAATGAATTAGTTGACCGATTAGCTACTTTAAACGATTGACTGATTATATGCCATCAAGTTGATGTCGATTTTTAGGGACCAAAATAAGTACAAAAATAACTCTGTGTGCAGGGTGATTCTGTGTATGTTTCTTTGAGTAGGCGCGTTGGAGTTAGATGTAAAGATGCATAGGACTGTAGTGTTCAGTCGCAAGTAACGTTAATCGATTATTTTAGAGTAATCATTCTGAAACCTAGAATCGGTTTGCTACAAAAATGAGCGGAGTAAAGAGCTGCACATCCACAGTATCGTCCCAAGCGTGACGTGCAAATGGAACAGGAAACGCCCCGCTTTGCGAGCGTGCACCAGGATACCGCGCGGAGTTCGAGTCCGCAAGAGAGCTGCCACCTCAGCCCTTCCGGCCCACCTGCCGCCCACTCTTGTCCTCGCTCCAGTCTGATGCAACCATAACACAACCACGTGGCCACAGTCAGCTGTTTCCACCTCCTTATCCAACCGCTGCCGGCCCTGTTGGCGTCGTGGGCGTGGCTCGGGAGCTTCGCCTCCTTAGTGCGATTGAAAGCTTGAACTCGGTTGGCGGTGGCCGGGCCGAGGTGGCTGGTTCGAAACAGCGTTGCCCAATAGCAAAGCGCGGGGAGGTAGAAGGCCCCGCCTTTCGGCCGGCCGTGGTTATGTGACTTGTTCCTTCTGTTGTGATCCGGCGCCGGGAGCTGTGACAGCGAGGGTAGGAGGGCGGTGGGAGTCCCTGAGCCCCGCTAACCGGGTGAAATCGAGGCCGAGGATTCAGTGCTGTCGGTGTCTATGGAGGCCGCCGCCGCCGCCGGGGAAGGGGAGCGCGAGGCTCTGACCTGCTTTTCCTATAACCAGGATTGCACGTACGTAAATGGGGATGCGACCGAGCGGGGCCAAGCCCTTAGCTATCGGGACGGTGGCGGCCAGGCTTACCGGTCTTGTGGAGGAAGTGGAAGACTCGAGTAAGGGGCGGGGTGGAGGGAAACGGACCAGGATGTGTAATGGACGGGAAGAAGTGAAATGAAGCAA